CTAAAAAATAAATGAAAGTTAAATTAATATCTTATCTAAATATTGTGCAGAACACTTTGACGTTTCACTGTTCACTGTACTTTTTTCAATATTCTCCCTTAATCATTCCAAAATGCATTTTCCACAGAAATTCGATCCTGTTTTAAGGAAATAAATAATTCACAAAAATCTATTTTTATAGTGTAAAAAGTAGCATTTCAGCTTTATGAATTTGTAGAAATAATAAAAATGATGTTTGCAGTAAGGAACTCTTGACAACAGTCCCTTGCATTTGAGAGTTAAATGTGATGGATTAACTACAATACTTAATATTAACTGCTTGTGTGTATAATAATATTGTGATCATGTTTGAGTTATTTTGATAATGTTTTTTGGAGACTTTGATTAATATGAAATAAAGTTAGCCAAAAAAATAAGTTCTGCTGTTTCTGGAAAGGAGCAATCATGTCACATTGGACATACTGGCGGAGTAGCTCTAAAGGCTCCTAAAATCTCCTGTCCTCAGTTCTAAATGCCCTTTCCATTTGTTCCCACTTGTCTCCTTGTCTTTGTGAAAACCCCCTGAGGTCTTCTCTGTCAAACTCTAAAAATATATTTTTTTACTATGTCAGATTCTAAGCAGGAGTGCACCTGGTCAATCTCTGGACAGATTCCAGAACACATACAGTATTTACTGTATACAGTATATACTGTACTATATTTTTGTAATGTGGTGACCAAAGTCATATACAGTATAGTATTCTTAAAGCGGTCTTACTGCAGGCCATATTTCTTGCCAGTTTTAAATTCTGAATCTTTTTTGAATTTGTATCTACAAACTCGTAAACTAACTTACACACTGTGCCAGATTCTACATAAGAATGTGAGGCAGATTATAAACAAGAGGAGACCATCTGGTTGCTAGTTGCTGATTTATCAGAGGATCCAATTCTAGAAATCAAGTCAAGGTATCAACATTAACAACAAAACTGTATAGCTTCTACTGGAACCCCTCTACTCTTGTGCAAAAAAGTGTCTTGTATTATAATTTTGAAAGCACTTCCATGCAGTTTTAACTTGTGTCCTCTGAGTGGTATTTCCCTGTTGTTTCAGAAGAAGCCCACCAGACTGACTTAGTCAGCAGCTTTGAGAAAGCCTTTAAGAGCTCAAGTTCTCTCATAGCCTTTTGGGTTCTCCCTACATTCCTTGTTATGATAACAGTTCCTACAGGGGTCTCAGATGTCTGTTTTGTTCCATTTATCTTCATTGTTTGGAAACACTAGATCAATAAGGTGATTTCATATACCTGTAGTAGGTACTCTGATAAGTTGAGTAAGCCAAAAAAATGTTAGCGCTGTCTAACAGTTCATTTTCATCTGCTGGTATCCATGATAGGTTTTTCCCAGTCTGTGTTCAGAAAATTAAAATCCCCCATTCTAATAACTTCTTCCTTTACACATGTGCCTGATTTCACCACATACGATTGCATTATAATTAATATATGAATTCAACAGGTTGTAATGTATTCCTAATATGACTATGTTTTATAGAGCTAACACATAAAATTGCCACGTAACAGACCAAAATAGTGCATAACAGTATAAGCAGACAGAAGCCATCCAAACTTTGTCTACTTTATTAGCTGTAAATTATATATTGGTAGTTAATTTCCACATTTAAGCCACAGGTTCTTATTGTTCATCGTGCTGGTTTCCAGGATGTTAAGTGAACAGAGAGCACACGACTGTCCCCTGGATGAGTAAATCATAGAGCCTATCCCCAGCAAAGTGTTGGTCCACAATTAACACAGCTAGGTAAATTGGTATAATCACGGTGAAGTACTTCAATCCTGATACAATAGCAGTGTTTGCAGAGAAGGCTTGAATCCACCAGTTATGAGTCTATAGACTATGCTATCCTGCTTTATATAGGTTTGAGTGTTATTTCTTTAAAAATGTAATGGTGATGCTTTCAAATATATTTTCTAAAGCATTTGCCTAACAAAGTGTGCATATTTTAACTGAAGTAACAACACATGCATTGATCCGTATTGCAATACATGCAGGTGATACACACGTTTCTGATATAAATTTAATTTTGAACGTTGCACACCCTGATGAAGAACTTTCTATCTCAAAAATAACAAAGCAAAGCCTGCGTCAGCAAATTAAGTACAACCTGTCTGACAGTGTTATCAATTCTTGATTCTAATGAACGAAAGTATCATTGACCTGTATCCATACAGCAGCATGCACTGCAACAGTGCACATTTCCCTGACGTGCTTTTCACCATGCGAATTCTGAACCTTCTAGCAGGCGTTGTTGTACTTGTCAAAAGCAGTAGTTCACATTTCTATTTTCCGCTCTGTAAAATGGACACAGAGAAGATGCATAAAAATAAGAAAAAATAAAAACTATATATATCTTTTAGAGAGGATAACCAGCCCCCTGCCATCAAAATATCATCTAGAAATTCGAAGGAAGCAGTGTGTATTTTTAGATTTAAGCTGCTCCAAAGCAGCTCTTGTTGGCAGCACAGCTGTAAGCAGTAACCTGTTTGGATCCAACCCTTAGCCCTGTCTCTAAATCGAGCACCTTTAAATCTGAAGTTTACCCGGGACTTAATAGGAGTTCATTTACCAACAACAACATGAGTCTCGGTGACCTTAGGTTTAATCTCGATAAGTTTTTACTTCAGAAACTTCAGATGACATTTGTTTTATTGCACCCTGCCTGGCAGGTAACTCGCTAAAATATTCTAAAGGCTGTGATTACAAAGCTCTTTCTGATTCAACTTCGCTTTTATTTGGGTGTGAATATATAGTGTAATGGTGAAAGAAAACAGGTGTTATATTGGACATCACTCATGACTAGGGAAAAAAATGAAAGTCCTGGCAACTGCCCCCAGCCTGCCTTGTGGGCACATAGCTAAGGGGAGGTGCAGCACTACACTATTCTAATGCTAAACCACGTGATTGATGGAGTGAGTCGAGCGACCATCGCTCTGATACTTCTAGTTTCTAGAACAGCCGCTAGACAGCGTATGATTATGGATTTGGAGCACCTAGAGTCGATCACAGGCATGTTGTTTTAGCTCGTTTTTCGTTAGTCATTAGTGTTTCCCTCCTTCGTTGGCCCTAACAATTTCGTAGGCCCCAGGCACTGTGCTTGCAGTGCCCACTGGAAAATCCGGCACTGTATATCTGTTCCTGCAGGAAAAAAGGTGTTATTTCTGTAGTACTGTATGTTCCTCTCTTATATAGGTACATTAAGAAAAGAGGTGAGCAACACAGGGAACATCCTACAATTTGTACAAAGAATTCACAATCACTAGCTTGCGATACCTTAGCTAGGATAGAACATTTACTACCCTGAACTTATGTACAGAAAAGCTTTAAAACGAATGACTCAACAGTCAGCATTGTTCGCCAGATGGATTGTATGAATCACCCCAGCTAAAATTAGCTCTGCTCACTATGTTAAATACAGTACCTCTGTTGTCCAAGCAGGCAATACTGAAAACATTTAAAGTCAGGCAGGCAGATAGCAGCACAGTTTTTACTTAAACAGAAGTCATGCGTTTCTATTTACTCTTCTCTCTCACAGGGGATACATTGTCAATTCGCAGGCTGTTCCTAATCTACAGTACCTGCAAGAGAACTGTTTGCTCGTGACAAATCAATAGACTTGTTACAGAGCTGCTCAAGGAGAAATCGTGAGGTGCAGTGAAATTGCAAAAGAGTTAATTGAAAGCAGTGGGGTCCCTTCAGGAACTAGTCATTAAAACCTAGCTGCACCAGGTGTTTTTTTTTTTCATTTAAGAGCTTGAGTTTAAGAATTCTATTCCACTTCAGAAAACTTCAATAACAGCAAATGTACAATTATATGAGGATTTTTAGCAATGGAGTCACCTTCCTTATCAAATTTATCAGCTTATTGAGATAAGGTGGGATGCATATTCCATGGATGATGAATTATAGGGTACTATACTATAGGGTACCAGGGTACTTTCTGTAATCGCCTAGCTGCTGAGATCCCGTGCTACACGACACCCCCTTTTTATGATAAAAAGGACATGTTTTTTCTCTCCTAAACTGTTTGTTGAATGATAGGTCACATAGAAAGAAGTGACACAGCTGTGGGTCTAAGTCTAAGAGTTAGAAGTAACAAATATCTTCACAAGAGGCAAGGTGGTGTAAAGAGGCAGCAGCATCTGTACCCAGGTCCTAAATGTTCTTCATACAGTGTTTATTATTAATTGGCTTTCCCTTCAGCACTAGGAAAGATCAGTCTGATCTGAATAGTACCCGCCTCTCAACTCACTTGATAACTGGCAAACATGACTTACTGTAACATCATAAGCTTTTGTAATGAATGACCTTACTGAAATAGAATCAATCATTTCAAGAAATATATTTCTCAAGGAAGTTTATTAGATGAGGTTCTAGAATTTAAGAGACAAAATAAAGCGTGAGCACTTCTGCTTATTTCACCGAGATCCACACCCAATTTGATAAGATAAGATAAATTTATTGTCCATATACAATTTCTTGTATTAGGAATTTGTCTTCTTCGCATATCCCAACTTGCTCTCTATGAGACACCTAGACAGGGAGAGAGGCTTGGGGTCAGAGCGCAGGATCAGCCATTGTACAGCACCCCTGGAGCAGTTGGGGTTAAGGGCCTTGCTCAGGGACCCAACAGAGTAGGATTCCTCTGCCGGCTGCAGGATACAAACCGGCAACCTTCCAGCCACACGCACAGATCCTTAGTCACCGCACCACCCTACTATCAATTACGTTATGATATACAGCCCTTTCATTGTACACTATAGGAATTACCAGTATTTGTCCTTTTTATGTCTGCTGTGAACTTTGATCCCTCTAGCAGCACATAAAGACACACATACTGTATAAACAAAGGGAGAAAGACACATACACAAAGCAAAGGAATATCTTAACATGGCACTGCATGATTCCATGAAAGTATCAAGGCTGACAAAGAGCATATGCTGGAAGTACCTGCAGGCTGCTGAGGCGTCCGATCCAGATTACAGGCAGAGGGAAGTCGGAACTGGATTCCTGAAAAAGTGGGTAATATCTATTGTCAATTAGCAGTTCGAAGAATCATGACTTACAGTATTACCCAGACACCCCCCAAATGCACAAATATACTTATCAACTCTATAAAAGTGTAAATAGCTTCAAATGACATTTAAATATTTATCCTCTGCTGTTCGTGGTAAGTTTTTAGAAGTCTGGCTGTTTCAGTGTGATGTTTGCATTCGAGATTTTGGTAATTTAAAAGTTTTGCCCCCCCCCAATCCCTGTTTTTACAGCTCTGTCATTATGTCAACAACAAAAAATGTGAAAATATGGGAAAGTTAGAACACGGTTGATACTTCTTCAAAGATGGCAAAGAAAAATAACAACCTAGGCATCTAGCTAACACGAAAAGAAAAAAAATGCTTTGTTAAATACATTTTGATTTTTACTGTGAATAGCACTTTAATGAAAAGAAATGGAAAATCAGAATTGTTCATGCAAGCTTATCCTGTCATGTAGGGTTTCATATATTTGTTAAACATTTGAGCTAAACACAGTATATATACTGTATGTATTTTATACATAGTTTTTATTTTACCTTACATAGTGAGGTGGAAAGTTGAAATAGGACAGCATTCCATAAAAACAATTCTTTCATGCATATAAACTGAGACCAAGAAGATAATCTCTTGATACCCAAAGCTAATACTGTAATCATTTAACTAAAATTGATAACTGTGTGATAAGGATGAGTAATTTCTCAAAGTTGCATGTTTTTTATTTCACACAAAAGCAAAATTTAAACTGATTTCATTATATTTTGGGCATTTGTAGCCGCAGTTCAGCTCTTCTAGGAGCAATGTAAATTTACATATAAAGTCACAATTTACATACAGTATGCACACCGTATAGTTTGATATGTACTGTATATCTAAAAAGATAGATATATGATGCTAATTTGTAAAAGCTGGCTAATGGACAGATATGTACTGTAGCAGGCTTTTTACTCAAATCTTTCATTTTCACTTACTGGGTATCCCTTTTGTCAGTGTTGAGAGCATTATTGTACCAAAAATGAGAGCATGCTTAGAGACAAAGTATTAGATACTTGTGTGGCATGCCTGACTCTGTAAAATAATTTATAGTTTTAAGAAAAAGAGCTTTAGGCCTTTAGGTATCATTTAAGAAGACCGGCTTTATGCAAGAAATCAAATGAAATCTTATAATGACGGATTAGCAGCAGACTGGTGTTTCTTTTGTTAATAATATATAAATGGAATGACAAATGTGTTTTAAAGCTCAATAAATAACAAAGTAACAATAAAATTAGAAAAACGTTTAGGAAAAAAAAAACTTTTGAGTGCTGTCTTCGCTTCACTTTGCCGCTAATGGGGTAACTGGGGCCCTGTCTCTCCATCTCTTGGCCAGCTGTTAAATGCTCCTGAAGAGTCTAGCTGACCAAGGTAATGCTCCATTGTTTATGCACGCTCAATGGAGGCCGATGCTACTCATTTTCCCAAAGATGCGCTTTCTGTGAAGTAAAAGAATGGAAGATACTGGATAAAACAGTCAGAAAAAAAGAAAAAAATGAAGCTAATCAACAAATCTAAGAAAAGGTGTAGACAATACAAAGAGGTTAAGGGAAACAGGAAAGAGATAAGAGAATACTAAAGGCAGGGAAAGGAAACCAAAGGAAGAGAAAGGAAGAAAAGGCAAGGAGAGAGAAAACAAAGTTTCTTGCAATTTAAACAAAGAAGGCTAAATTGGACAGAGGAAAAGACAAACAGAAACGACTTAATTCGGGTTAACATTAAAGACGTGGAACAGACACCCAGAATGGTTTGAATGTCAATAATTCCTAAATGTATGAAAAATGAATAATAAGAAGCATGACTGAAAAATGTATTTGAAGCTATTTACATTGGTAATGGCTCTTTTAAATTCTCGTTTTTAAAATTTTAAATGTAAAACATAGCAGCATACTGCATGAAAAAAGACAGAGCAAACTTGACATTGACAGATGGTTCAGATGTCGTTTCGGAGAACACTTTATGGAGAGAGACAAGATGACTCAATCGCTACCATAAAGAGTTATCGAAATGCCATTCTCATGTTGGCTTTGGTCTGGTTTTTTTTCTCTTCAACGTTAAACTGCAGTAAAATGTAAATTTCCTTCACAACGACCATAACACAAAATCAGCTGGAATTACTGAGGCTGTCTTTGCAGTAGGTGAACAATATCTTATCTTCGCACCAGATTGAAGTTTGGGCCACTTTTTTCTAGAAGGGCACTGTCAAGAAAATATTATTAAGCCTTTAGTGTTGCCGTCATCTTTCATGGAGTGTGCTTTTGTTGTACAATGGGCTCTTTAATTCCAATTCTCTCTGTTTCTCAGCTGTCACATCATGGCCATAACTCGACGGTTTAATGACACCTCCACCATTGTTTTTCGAAGTGTGTCATTGCTTTGAAAGACATTGTTCCATCCTGACTATCACCCCGAGAAGGAGAGGCTCTTAGTTTTACGGTGTAAACTGTTACTGTTAACCCATCTGAACTGGCTTATATGAGCTGTGATGTGCAGCTGAGCGAAAGCTGCTGGAGACTTCATTTCCTAAATGTTGCTTAAAATGATATGAAAAGATGCAGTAGTGGGGCCTTTCTGTGAAGAAAGACAATGAACAAATTGTAATGTTGACCAGGATGACTTTTTGTTTTTCCTCATATTACTTCATCCTTGTGAAATATGAAACTACACTAATTGCAATGGATTTTAATTCTTCTATTCCTTTGCACTGCATATCTTGACAGATGAAAAAATGGTGTTCTGGATTTATACAGTAATACAGAAAAGGAATTTTAAAACTTTTTGAAACACAGTGGGACACAGAAGCACAAAATTAAAAGACAAGCATGGTAATTGAGGTTTAACAGGTTGGTCCAAATCATATCAGTTTTGAAACTCCAGGTCAGATTTGTAAATGTAATTGTATTTGGAAACAACGGTAGTTCTTTCAGATACTGGTCTGATGAATATATTCCCACAGTATCTATGAAAGACTATGGATATACTGTACAGTACATAAGCAGCATTTAAACAGTTACTGTACATTGGCACATAGGCCACATTTAACCCAACATATTGCAAATAGTGTATGCTTCCCCAAACTTGACATGATTTGTTACAACACTATTATTATGAAAAGGTTAATCTATTTGTTACAAATATGACAGATAATGATCTTCTGAGGCTAATTATGTGTTTAACATTTTTTTTACAAAGCTGATGTGTGACCTCAATGGTGAGGAGACTTCAGTTACAGAAACAAATGAATTTTACTGGAGACATATTGTACATTTAGCAGTGTAATAAAACCACAATTGTCATAGAAGGATGCATGCATTCACAGATAACTGAAAACTGGTTTAACATCCTTACAATTAGAGATTCTGATTTTTTCTTTCCAACATCTTGGTATACAGGATGTCTTTAATCATGTAGAACTATTCGATGAAAAAATGGTCAATAAAGAAGTAACATTCAGGTAGAAATTGTGTTTTAAGTTTAAAATGAAATTAATTTGTTAACATCAACCCTTCTTTTTTTTTGTGGTGGAGGATCAGATATTAATTGCTAAAGTGGGAGTAGTAAAAAGCAAAATGTAACTTTATTATGGCCTGTTTAAGCCACTGATTGAATCTCCTATCAAAATACTCTCACTGGTTTTTGGCAGCGATGAGATTGGCTGGGACACTAAAACACTGCATTCCAGCAAGCATTATACAGTAGGTCTCGGTAAATCCCCAGCATCACAACAACAGGAATAAAAGATTAGGCTCATTCAGTTAATCCAATTATTAGATTAATTAAATAGTTTAGTGTTCAGGAGAAATGAAAACAAAAAGACATTGTGGCTGTCAGGACTGAAATTGTATACCCCACAGCTTATAAAACCAACGGCTGGGAAGAGAGATAAAATATGTTTAAAGCCCTATGGCTCTAAACTTAAAATGATACCTATCGGAATAACAATATTTTTTCATTATACCTGATTTTTACAGAGTATCTGTTTTCCTTTTTTTGCAAATAAAACAAAGCTGCTCTGTGCCTTGGCTGTACACTGTACAGTGGCAGTTGGAAATAGCAAACCAGGATAAATTAGTTTCTTTTCAAACTACAGATCAAGAGTTAATATTCAAGAGAAACCTTTTATCTAATCAACGTACACTATTTTGTGTCGGCTACACCGACATTTCTGTACAGCACTGAATCTGAAACACAAATATCTCATGTGGTTTTCATTTTTAACCTGTGTTTAACTAAACAATTAGGGTATGGTGGAGGTGAAATTGGGTAAAAAGCAAAAATCAGAATCCCTGCTACTAAATTTAATTTGTAACCCATCATAACTGAGGTCTGCTTGTCCATTTTTGGCCATAAAAATCCATCTGTCTCTTCATAAACAAATTAAGACATGTGTGACCAATCCATTGCAAGTTTGTATGACTCCATAAATAAAGAAAAAACAAACAAATATAAAAACTATGGAATAACAAGTCAAATTTCTTAAGTTATATTACTAGTTATATTACCAATTATGTGTCATGATTCATTATAGCTGCTTAAAAAGAGAAAGAGCTTCAGAATGTTATTCGTAAACATTCAGTATAGGATTTTCTTTCACAGGTCCATCCATTCTCTGTACAGTATAAGGCCCACTTTTGTTTGCAAATATATATTATTGAAAAGTGGTGTTTTGATGGTAAGGTGTAAATGTACTGTACATATCCAAGCAATTCAAGCATCTATTTTCTAAACTCTTCATCCAATTCAGGGTTATGGGGGAGCCTATCTCAGCAAGCAACAGGCGCAAGGCCACAGCCTGGACAGGACGCCAGTCCATTGCAGAGCTCACACAGACACAGACACACACACTCCCACCAGGGCCAATTTTTACAAAAGCATTTGATCAACCAGGGTGGCTTTGGATCATGAAGGGGAAACCAGAGCACCCAGGGGAAACAACTACAACCA